ATTCTATTGTCCTTGTTGAAGAAAATGCTCACCAAGGTGTCATAATAAAGGGGGAAAAGCATAGTGTGGTTCATTGACATTTGAGTATAGAGACAACTTTTCCGATCCATTGACATTTGAGTAAAGAGACAAACGTATTCTACATGTGTAACTTAGTAACTTTAAACCGCTGTTACCTATTGCCTCTTTTAATTGCAGAATGTTGTACGGTCCTTTAACACTGTAAACCTCTTAAAGAATAGCATCGCAGAGCTAATCGTTTGAAATTACCCTAGGCTCATCCGTTACCTAAATAATATATTGATCTCTTTTTAACTTGAGTAATTAGTCTCAAAGTAAGCCAACTGCACAAGCAGGAGACTTTATTATTATCTTGAGAGGCTGTGTGTGGTATACTGGAATGATGAAAAAATTGTGAACAGGATTGCCTTTTTAAGATTTGAAGTTTGAAGCGTTCTGGAGCACCTGTACTGACTTGTGAATGTTTTCTTTCTTTTGCCACTTCGTTCTGAACAGTTAATGCTTAATAATGTTAAGAAGGACACACACACACACACACACACACACACACACACACACACACACACACACACACACACACACACACACACACACACACACACAATGTTAAGAAGGACACACACACACACACACACACACACACACACACACACACACACACAGGCAGCTGCAAACACAGCTGCACAAACTCGAAACGTGGGCAAACAATAACGGTTTCAAGTTCTCCCCGTCAAAGACAGTTGCAGTACACTTCTGCCGAACAGGCAGACGTGTGCTGCTGCCGGATTTGACACTACGGGGAAAAGATTCCCGTCCAGGACCAAGCTCGTTTCCTCGGCGTCATTTTCGACAAAAAACTCACATTCATATCACACATCAAAGACCTTCGTGTGAGGTGCCAGAAAGCGCTAAACGCTTTGAAAATTCTATCGCATCCGGAGTGGGGCGGGGACTCAAAACACCTTCTCCACTTGTACATCTCCCTTGTCCGGTCCAGGCTTGACTACGGCTGTCAAGCCTACGGATCGGCAAAACCACACATCTTAAAAATGCTAGACCCAATACAAAACCAAGGACTCCGCCTTGCTCTGAGGGCTTTCGGCACTTCTCCGGTGGAGAGCCTCCAGGCCAAGGCCAATATACCACCACTCTCACTCAGACGCACACAACTCTCACTACAATACGCAGTTAAACAGAGCTCAACACCAGAAAATCCAGCGCACAACAGCATTTTTAAAACAAGGTGAAACCATAAACAAATTACAAAACAATGAAAAACTCATCAAACCCTTCGGCCTCAGAATCCTTGAGGACCTCAAAAACTTACACTTTTCCAAACAAGACATCCAACAAATTCTTTTCCCCGACCTCCCTCCGTGGCACCTCACCAAGGCAAAAGTAGATTTACAGCTGACCACACACAGCAAAGCACACACACCAAAACTTTTAAAGCAGAATACAAAAAACTAATAGATAAATACCCCGGTGCGGAGCTCATCTTCACAGATGGCTCCAAAAAAGTCAATGAAGTGGGTGCCGCAGCCCTATCTTCCAACAGTACACACCAGAGGAGACTCCATCCTGAAGCCTCCATTTTCTCTGCGGAGGCCACTGCCATTGACATGGCACTGGACTCCGTAGAAAATTCTCCTAACAAATCTTTCCTTATCCTTTCCGACTCTCTGTCTTGCATCACCTCACTTACAAACTACACACTCCTACATCCAAAAATAGTTAGGCTACAACAGAAAATTCATACACTATCCGAAACAGGAAAAAACATCATGTTCGCATGGATACCTAGCCATGTGGGCATCCGAGGAAACGAGCCGGTAGACGACCTGGCGAAGAAAGCTTCATCCCTTCTCCTGGGATCAACGACAAACACTCTCCAGAAATAAAGTCAAAAAGTACACCTCCAGTCTGTGGGAGAGCCACTGGGAAAAACAGAAAAACAATAAAGTATATGTTATAAAACCCAAACTAGAACAGCGAAATCCTTCGGACCTCTCCAGAAGAGACTAAGTCATTTTTACTCGATTGCGCATCGGACACACGGCCCTGACCCACAAATACCTCCTACAGGGAGATGAGAAGCTGTTCTGTGTCGGATGCGACACAGATTTTACCATTAGACACATCTTAACCGAATGTCTAGACTTTGGAGAGATCCGAAGGAAATATTATAAATGCAAGAAATTGCAAGACATTTTTTCCGTCGTTGTTCCCAGCAGAATTTTGAATTTTATGAAGGCCATTGGCCTTTATGGCAAATTGTAAAGTGAAATCGTATTATTTAAAATTTGTATTGTTATTTATAAGAGTTGTTTTAAATTGAAAATATATTTACACCGAATTTTAATATTTTAGCATTTTAAAGTCTAATACTTAACCAATCGTGCAGTGAACTTTTGCGAAAGTAAACAACTTGTGTTTCGCGCGCTCATATGACCTTACGCAGTTGCGAGCGCAGTAAAACCCTATACTACTACTACTATTACTCCCTAACCCATTCAACCAAATGTAAGCCCTATGAAGATCTTACGCAGTTGCGAGCACTGTAAACCCCTATACTACTATACTACTACTACTACTACACACACACACACACGCACACACACACACACACACATACACACTCACACACACACACACACAAACACACACACACACACACACACACACACACACACACACACACAAAATAAAGCCTTAAACCAGTTT